GATAATGCTTTTGACTTTTGGCCAGCTTTTTGAGATTTGGCCCCACTGTGTGACAGTCTACGTATCTGGACTTTCCATTTAAACATTGAAGATTTCCGATTAAAATTTGCAACAGTGAAACCTCGAGGAGTTACATTTTCAAAATTATTTCCTTTTTGTACTAAATTTGTTAAGCTGGCTCTGGTCACGTGTAAGTATAATTCCTCTGAATTATACCTATACGTAACCTTGTAAGGAACCAAGTCTGAGCTTTATTTTTATTTTACTTTTATTTTGCTTTCATTATATTTTGTTTGGGGCTTATGTTTATTTAAGACGAAGGTTTCCTCACCATTCACCTTAGTAACTTAAAAATAGAAGAAAAACCAACTCACCGACGAAAGAAAAGCGCCGTAGAAAAACTCGCGCACACTTGCGCTTCCCAAGCGGAAAAAAGTAAGTCCGCACCGAGAAAAAGGGGGGGAAGACCCCACAACCCAGTTAGGAATCGCTAAACCTTAAAAGAATAAAGCATCCCGATAATTGTTAAAAAGAATAATGTAAAAGGTTAGCGAAGTATTGTCGGAAAATAATCTGCCAGATAAACAAGAAAAATTTAATGTTACAGATAAGTATGTAAATGAGGAGAGTGAGCTCATTCAGAATTGTGACGTCACCTCACACTATAAAGCCTCTAACTCAAGTGAAAACGAACGAGGTGAATTCCTGATAGCAACGAGCTTTGGTGAGCTTCGTAGCAGTGAACGAGAGAGGTGTCCGATAGGATTTTGAAGTTATTCGATTTGTGGATCGACGATTATAGAAAGTCTTGAGAGTTTGAGGAAATAGGTTCCTAGTATATTGAGGTGACGATTAGGATCTTTAATTTATAAGAATTATTGTTTATAAGTTAATTCTTTGATTTTGTCGAATTCCAAAGGGGAATAGAATTAAGTTAGAAATAGATTGATTTGAGTTTGTCGGATTGATTCTTGTTGAATTTCATTGAATAAATTATTGTTTGATTTTTACTAAATACTGTATAGAGTTTATTAATAGAAGTTTAATTAAATATTTGATTTTGTTATTGACAAACTTTGTCATTATTTAATTCGGTGCACGCTTAAAGTCCAGGCCTGGCACACTAACGCGAATCCGCGTAAAGTACCCGTTAGGGAACGGCTATTTCCGGCACACAGTAGTGTCGATAATCGTTGGAAAGTCGGAAAAATAATATAGTACTTTACAACCTAAGTATGACCTATATGAGAAGGTCCCAACATTTCATTCAGAGCTGTAATTGTACCGTATTATAAAGGAATAATTGGTTCACCTAATAGATTAACACATCAATGACTTAACCATTTTTACAATTTAAATAGAACTGTTTGCGGCATTTGTCTTAAATGTCAATTAATAATCCATTGTAAAATTGAGATAAGATAAGTAAATTGTTAAATACTTGTTCACTTACCGTTTTAACTTCGAAATTTCCGCCTCTATCGTAGAACCGACAAACGATTGACGGGAACTGTAATGTGCAGTGTTGCCAGATACTCAAAACAAATTTCCCTAAATTTTAAAATACGGGTATTATTAACTATTAAAAGATAATAAATTTCGTTATTTTATTATTCATAATTTATAATAATAAACAAATAAAATAATTATCTGCCGATTGATTTAATCTATCGTTTTATTTTACTCCTGTCCAAGGGCACTAACATCTATCAATCGGAATCTATTTAATCATACACATTAGTTTTTCATTTGTTTACAGATTGCCGAGGGGTGATGCCTTCCAGAACTTTCTGTGGGAAACTGGTTCCTATTTAGGTGTTATTAGCGTGAATAAAACCACGTGGCAGCCCGTTCGCCAGGCGCGAATCTTCCATCAATTATTAGTGTTCAGTAGTGTTATCCACTTGGCCACTTATGGGCCCCATCATTAGTCTCAGGAATTATTTATGTCCCGGATTTGTCGGGTCTCGTGCCTCACCACCCGACTGCTCCATTATAGGCCTGGCGTTATTCACGATAGCTATAACTTAATTAAAAGACCTTCTTAATGTCTGTAAGTGGAAAGAATAAATGAAAAAAATATTCGTAGATTCGGTCAAATTCAGAATGAAGACTGCCACGGCCGGATGGCCAAGCGGTCAAGCTGACCACTCTGGGGAAATGGAATCGAGTCCACACGGATCGAAAAATCGCCGGGAATTTTTCGGGGATGGTCCTATCGGATATGTCGGCCCCGGTCACCATTGTGGGTCAGGCCGAACCCATAATCGGCTTGCTAAAAGAGGACCTCTTATTACCCACAGGGCGGTAAGTTAAAGAAGACGGAGACGGGCGGGTGCACAGGGACGGGGTCCGACATATTGGAGACAGCGCTCACACACATTTCAATATTTCTAAAATTCTAATCTCTTGAGATCAGAAAAACGTAACCCTTTAAAATGACGGATCCAATGGATGTAAGGTACACGCTGGTCAAATTTTTATTTAGTTTTCTACAATTTACATGATTGTTTAAGACATGTCATATGAATAGTATCTCCACGTGAGCCAATAAAGAAAAATCAAATCAGTAAGTCTCGAATCTGAAAGGAACAAAAATGGCCAGTTCGAGTTATGAAGAGTTTTACATATGGAGGGATATGAAAATTGAAAAAAAAAATTTTCTTCAGACGCAATAGAATAAGAGATGCAATTCTGTGATATGTATTTAAATTATTATTAGAAAAACATAAGGAGCCGTAATAATACTTTAAATATATATCACGAAGTTAGGTTTATCGCAAAATTACGTCTCTATGCTACGAGTTTATTCAAAAGTCAAATTTTGCATAATAAATTATATAAATTATTTACAGAAAAATTTAAGTTATTAGCAAATATATCTTTGTTAATCTAAAATACTTCGCGTGTTCATGAAGTGCCGAAAGACGAAATTGACCCACCAGCGGTCGAGTGGATAAAAACCACTGAACGCTTATAGTTGATCGAGGTTTCGCACCTGGCCAACGGACTGGCTACGTGGAGTTTTCCGGGTTTCCTTGACGTTTGTAACATTTAAATAGGGGCCAGTTTCCCATAAAAATTTTGCCAAAAGGAATCTACTCACGTGTAGCTTTATGGTAACCAAATAAACCAAATAAACTAAATTTAAGACGAAATTAAAGATGGCTGCCACGAACAATAAATCCGCTGTAAATACAGATATGAACTGTGAAAAAATTTGTATTTTCCGATTAAAATTATAAAAAGCTCTAAAATAAACTTCATTTTATTTTATAGCTTTAGAGCTATTATAAATAATTAGATTTATTTGTGTTAATATAATTGGATATAATTAGACTATTATTTCCGTCTGCGCCATGATTGATAAAATGGAGTTGTTGTGCCCTTTATTAACGTTGTATTTGTGTTCTCGCAGACGTAAGGGGCGAATGTAAAATGGGATGAGGCAAAAATCATTAAAACGGTCCAATCTATTGCATTAGAAATGGAAAAGATGGAAATATACAAAAGTAAAATGAAAAACCGATGTCTAAATGCAGAGCCGGCCCTACCATAGGGCGAACGGAGCAGCCGCTCCAGGCGCTAAGTCCTAGGGGCGGCTCAGTGGTAAAGAAAATTAAAGGGTATAAATTAGGGGCAACCAAGGGGGACGCTATAATAGGATCTCGCTCCATCCTAAAACTTGCCTCGGGCCGGCACTGTCTAAATGCCAAGGATGCTAATGCCCTTCCAACAGCATGGAAGTACCGGTACGTACACACATAATGATGTAGGAGGTGGACTCGCACGTGCATGGATCCCCGAAAGGACAAAACGTACAAATATATATGCAAATACAAAGTTTAGTTATGACAAAAAAATAAAAATCAACACAGGCTCTCACCTATTTGCGTGGTATCTGTACAGTAAAGAATTCGGATCCTAACTCTGGATCTCACACACGTACAATAAGGGAACAAAGGCTTTATGCACGTAGTGTCACGCAACGAAGACGAGTTCGCGACAATGGAGTACGATAAAAGTATTACTCGAATTTCTATAACTAAGATTATAAACTAACTTAAAAACTAGGACAAAAATAATGGAATGAGGTTAGAATAGTACAGATATTTAGATATATAGAAAAGATAGAGTAGAGGGTACCCACGATGTGGTATGATGTCTTCCAGTTGAGGGGAAAACCGTATTCTAGTCCGCCGATATATATATATTTCTTGACCAGAATATACTCAGTTCTTCTCTCGATTGGATAGACAATTCGTCGTCCTTCTCTTCTTCGTAACGGCAATCTTGAACTCCTAGCTCACCTTCCGCTCGCTCTTGAGTCCCCTTCAAGAATGACCGTTATCTCCTCACCCCACATGCCTCGGGGTGCTCTCTCTTTATTCTTCTCCCTTCGTTCTCGGAAAAGTGTTGCCCCCCACCGATAAGGAAGTAAAGAATGGAAAGATCGAGAAATAGGGAAACAAAGAACGCAAGATCGAATAATTAATATCAGGCTTACGACTAGCGCGTATATACAAAATTATGGCGTCTTGCCACAGAACAACGTTCATCTACTCAATCCGTACAAGAAAAATTTCCCATTGTTTTAGATGTTTTACAACTCCTGTACTTTAAAATATTTGACTTTAAATACATTCTTTGTTGTTACTGTTATAACTATATTATTCTATTACTATATATTATGTAAATTGCAAATTAAATATTTGAGAGTTTTTGAACAAATATGTATTTCATTCTTCTAGAATTTACAAACAGCTCTTTTTCATGAAAAAAATTTTTTAATTTTTAAATACAGGTATTGTAAATCTTAAGAAAAATATTGAGATTTTATAAACAGTTTATGACATATTTCTACCATTTAAATATTAAGTATTAAACATTATATTTTATAAAATAAGCACTAAATAAATAGCCAGAAGAATTATAAAATCTCTACATATAAAATTATGTCAATGTGTGAATTTTCTGTTGTTGTATTTATAATTTAATAAATATGCAAAAAAGTTGATTACTGCAATATTTTGATGCATTAATAAAATCAAAATATTTTCTGTTTTTCTTTTTTTACAAGATTTTACTATTTCCATTTGAATTCAAAAAACTCATAGTCTGTACCTGCTGTGGAAAACTGGATTATGTGACTTCTTACAGAGGAATATTATTTGGCTGAAATTACTGCTGCTGCTTTTTACATTAACAAATGAATTGTTGCGAATGACATCATTGTTTAAAGTGAGATTACCATATCAGTATTAGATAGACAAAGAACTCTATAACACAATAGAAGACCTCTTCTCGCCTTTGTGTTCACAAGTTGAGTAAAGAGGATGAAGACCCTCTTTACTCAATTTGCTAATTGACTGTATTGTTGAGTTGATTTGCTTTTGAGGCATCACAATACTGTAGTGATATTTGGCATTCTTGGACATTCAGAACTATTGACATTTTGATTCGACTTTCTATTTTGAAGATGACTTGTAAAGAAGCTTATGGCTTCCTTGCAAGCCATCTGCAAAATATCTTCATATTATTTAGTGCAATTCTGATGAGTTCATCGCATTTCTGTTTATCCTGCTGTTGAACGCACAGTTTACACTTGTTAATCTCCTTAGTTCTGTGACTCTAAAATGCAAATTATGATAAAATTCAATTGACCATTACTGAGATAATATCGGCATCAAATTTTGCTTCTACTCTATATTTTACACATGAAAAGTTCCAACTACATAATGGTCTATAGAAAATACCTTCAAGTTTTTTGTTTTCGTTTACCTGCAATATGGAAACCACCGTGTCTGAAAAATGGGGAGTAAAAAAGATTCGTTTTACTAAATATTACATGTGCCAATTTAGCAAATTTAATTATCCCAGTTTAAAAGTTTGGTTAATTTTTTATCTTGAATATAAAAGCAATTGTTGAAAGCAAAGTAATTGTCTTTAATAATCGTAACAATATGATAAATTTTAATCATTATCAAAGAAAGGAATCATCCTAATTAATGTAAAGATGAGTGAAAACCTGGGCGTCACTTCGATAGCTGATCATTTTGAAGGAATCTTCAGAATTTATCCATCTATAAACCGAGCTGCACCAGACTTTTGGGGTCCCGCCGTGAATAACGGCGGCGTTAAAGAAATAAAATTATCGGATTACAATGCTAAATACTTGGTGCTGATCTTCTTTCCTAATGATTTCTCGTCGGGAATATGTCGATCGGAGATCATCGCATTTAATGACAGAGTAGAGGAATTCAAAAGGATCAGCTGCGAATTGTTAGCATGCTCTACGGGAAGTGTAACCTGCCATTGTTCTTGGATAAGTACCGAAAGAGAAAGAGGAGGATTGGGAAGAATAAACATCCCACTCTTATCCGATAAGAACTGCCGAATTTCTAGAGATTATGGAGTTTTATCCGAAGGAGAAAACATTGCGTTTAGAGGACTGTTTATCATTGATAGAGAAGGTATGGTGCGACACGTCGTCATCAATGACATGACAGTGGGCAGATCGGTGAAGGAAACGTTACGATTGCTTCGAGCTATTCAACATTGCGATGAATATGGAGAAATGTGCCCAGCGGATTGGGAATTACGTGAAGTTGACACTAGATCTACTCAAACTGACATATGACATAAATGACAAAGTTTCTTATTACGAATCGAGTGAGATCCTGAGAATCGTATTCCTGAAAAATTCATACTTTTATTTTTGCTAATTTTTCTGGTTTATTTTAGAATTTTGTTATATTAGAATACAAACTCTCAATTTTATATATACCTTTATTAAAAACTTTATAATAACGTAATAAGTTTCTAAGATCTCTGTTCGTACAGAAACACCTTCCATTATATCTCTCACTTGTCGGCTCTGAGGCACTAGGAAAGTCTTTTTCTCTATACCCATCTTGTTCCTCTATACTCTATACTCTATACTTGTTTGGCCAGGCATACAATGGGTGAGGCAGAGTGGTGAGGGACGAGACCTCTGCCTCACCCATTGTATTCGATCTCTACACCGAAAGGATAATGCCTTAACCATCCAGGCGTTATTTATATGCTCTAAAAACTGATAGAATAGCGCTGATGAACATTAGTTGGACTTCAGACTATGCACCTGGACCAAACAAACAGAAAATTATTTCTTGTACATAGCAATAGGTGATTTTTTTGCGCATTTAAGACCGTTTGCAGATATTGCGCTTTGCCCGTAGCAAACTGTATAAACGGTGGCGATTCAAACCCGGAAGCCGTTTAGCTTCCTGGCACTTTTTAATTTACGACTACACACGTGATAGAACTGTTTTAATTAACAAAATTCACAGTACACTTTGCACTTTACAATATTACTAAGTGTTTAAAACATTATTACGCAACTATTTACATTTACTAACGATTTATATCTTATTCATCATTAGCAGGAAAAATGATTTTGGAGTTACGATTCTCGATCTCGGGCTGCAATTTGAAAAAAACTGTAGACCTATCAATTCCAACTGTCGTCCGTCTCTCCTTAATCTCGAGAACGGAGTTAAACAGATGAAAGACGAGACCAGATATGGAAATATTTGGGGCAGGAGGCCCCGATTAACAATATAAGGACATTCTATGCCTAACGGAAGTTACGTTAATTCAATTCAAAAATTTCCCCAAAAGCTGTTAGATGAACGGCACGACTCTATTATTAAAGGAAAAATATGATGTACAGGGGCAAGCCAATACTGATTTGAGGGGAGAGCATATATTTTAAATGAAATAAATTAAAAATATGATTAAAAATTGTAACCCGGCTCCGGCATTTTGACGACATCACAATAAATAATTGCTCGTTTATTTGTTAAAACGGGCATGTTTAAAACCCGTGATATCGTGACATGTCGTTTTTCTCTGTTCGCTTCCTGTATTTGTTAAAAAACCTACAGGAACAGTCACACATAAAAGTATGTGAAGGTAATGACATCATTTATCTATTTACGTAATGACGAATAACGTGCAAACTGAATAAAGTCGGTTAAGGTCGCAGCAATCAGGAGTAAAATACATACCGGTAGAAGAAAACTTTTTTACATGTATTACTTTTTATAATTATAAATATGATTTTTCCAGCTGAATTTTCAGCCTCATGTATAATTTTTGGAATGAGGCCTCTCGGCCTTATGGCTAAGATCAAATATGTGGTATCTGGTTCCAACCTATCTATTGTGGGGACATTTCGGAGCACACCCTTTGATCGTGGCCATCTGGTTGGTGACTTCAGCCTTTTATGGCTTATTTTTGTAACTGCGGGCATCACTGGGGTCCCTGTTCCCAGAACCGGATCATCGCATAGACAAATGAGACAAATGTCTAGGGCCCGGTTTTTAGAAGGGACCGGTCAAACTGTCTATTTTGAAAAGATTTGTAAATAAGATACTTTACTTTTCTGTTGGACAACTGTATAATACCGGTAAAACAGATAAAATATTATATTGTTTAAATATTAACCAAAAAGGTTAAATTAAACAAGTAAAACGGCAAAACCGTATTTGGGACACGACTATGTCTCGGAGACACTACTAAACGGAATCACTTTGACGCTCAAAGCGGATCTCGTTCTCATTCTCCAATCTTCTTTGGTATCGCAGCTTTTGGGCGCGATCGTTCAAACTTCGCCGACCACCATGCATTTTCGATGAAATTAACCTATCCAATTTCGAAATTTTTTTCCGTTGTGCGTCGGCCCGGGTTGAATTTTTGTCGATGCCTAACGAAAATTTCCCGTCTTTGAAAAAAATAATCGTAGCTATTGTATCGTCCGAAATTATTATTTTTTTATTTTGCACAAACAATATACAGTTTAACCCGATTATAACGTCAAATTTTTATCGGTCCCACGATTTTACTATACTAGATAATGTTAAAAAAAAACCTACTTGTAACGACATAACATTAATGTCATATAAAGCACTCCCAAATTTACAAAATTAGATTACAAATTTTATTTAACAAAGAAAATACTACGTGTTCAGTTCTAGAGTCAGAGTCCATTTCCTAGAACGACTGTTGGTGGTACTCTCACCATCTGACTTCGGTTTGCTTGTTTGTAGAGAGAGGCGCCATTTTGTATTTTACTTTGACTCGGTTCTCGGTCCCCCGAGTACCTACAAGTCTGATTTTTTTTTTTATGCTCGCGTGATTTGGGCACTTAATACTCTGTGCCAAATTGCAACTCCTGACATATACTCCTTCATACCTCTAAGCTGGTAACACAGCAGGCAGTACGATTTTATAGACAAGACATAGTCTTGTTGACAATTAATATTTTAAGGTAATATTGTTATTGTACAACAACTTTTGTTAGACATTTAATAAAACAAATTTCAATTTTTTAAATTTATAAACAAATTGTTCAAACTTTTCTAGAAAAACTAAAATTTATTGTTGTGTATTAAATATTTTTTATTAATTATTAATAAAATTTTAAGATTTGTTTTAGTTTTTCACATTATTTAGTTTCGTTTTATTTATTGTTTTATATTTTTTGTGTGCTCTATTTCTTGTGAGAGAGGGAGGGGGCCCGATATGAAGAAAATGTCTATGGCCCCAAAGTGGATTAATCCGGCCCTGTCTGTTCCAGCTTGTCGTCTGCTGCGGTGGCTATAGTCTTTTTTTTTTTTAACTCTTTCTGCCCTGTGGGCACTAAGAGGGCCTCTTTTTGCAAGCCCATTATGGGTTCGGCCAGGCCCACAATAGGGCTGCCGGGTGGTGAGGGACGGGGCCCGACATATCCGAACGGACCACCCCCAAAAAAATCCTGGGGATTTTTCGACCCGTTCGGATCGGATCTGGCCGTTCGGCTCTGGGGGAACCCGGGTTCGCCCGGGTCCCCCCAGAGCGGTAGGCTGACACCTTGACCGCTCGGCCATCCGGCTTGCGGCGGCTATAGTAGGTAAGAGCAACCAGAGGTGGTGCTTGGCGGGATCTTCATTGATCCCTCAAAACGCAGCTCAATTTTCAGTGTTACTTTAATATTTATTACTCTGAAAACTGCCAGCAAGTTCACGATTTGGAATCGGTAAACCTATAGTTGTAATGATATTTCAGGACTGGCTTAACTTAATTGTACCATTTCTAATTGTATATATTGTACTAAAGTATACAATTTAATGGCCACAGAGGAATACAGTTAAAAAATAACTTGCCAGATATTTTAAAGATCCAATGTTTTGAATGCATTATTGACTAATTAACCCATTAACAGTATCGGCTATCCGGCACTGTTAACAAGTTTCACTTGTTATACAGGAAAAAATAAAATAAAATAAAAAATTTCTATTCTTTATCTATACAATTAATTGGTCCTTAGACAAAGAACCCATTTTTTATGGGTCATGCAGTGCTGAAGATAAATCCAGTTCTTACAATCGTAAAAGCACTCAAAGAAGCGAAACTTCTATTCATTACTAATTGTTCTTTTCTATCTAATGACGCAAATTTGACGCAATATTTTATTGATGAAAGAAAAACCTGCAAGAATTAACTTAGCGATCCAAAACAGTTCAGAAACACTAAACACAAAAATCTCTGAAGCAAAAATCTTTACTATTCCCTACTTCCATTTATATAATTCTTTTTAAAAGACTGACAATGTTGAAAGTTCGATGCGAACTGTACGTGATTCGCATACATCATGAGAGAAAAATGCGATTGTTAACACGAAAAAAAAAATACAGGAAGAGGAGAAAGAAGGAAAAAAATGACGCGACACGATATCACGGCATCCATCAATCTCACGTTTACTTTATTTTATTGTGTTCTAATACTGCTGAGAGATGAAACACGATTTCCCACTCAGGTGAGCAAAATAACATTCCTACAAACAAATTTTATGACATTTCAAAACATTTTCCTTAATTTCTCTTTTACAGTAAATTACTAAAGATACTATTGCTAAATTGGATTTCATTAAATCATTTGCAACTTCCTATGATTTATTCCTTTGAAAGCGATAAGGAGGTTGAAATTACACGTCAAGTCATTTCAGAAGAGAGTGACGAATTGATTCGTTCAATTTTAATGGAAGCATTAGACGAACAACAGACAGCGCATGAATTAGGAAGAGCGCTTATTTTTGAACGTAAGTAATCGTTACTAATTTATATTATTATATTTAAATCAAGTAACAACTTATGTAAATGAATTTTTTGTATTTTTACATAAATTGAAGATTTGAAATTACATAAATTGAAGATTTGAAAGTTATGAAAGTCAAATGTATCTTAAGCAAGTTTGCATATGTTTTTCCCTAGACTGTTTCTGCCCTATGGGTGCTAAAAGGAGTGTTTTTCGGGTTCATTGTGGGTTCGGTTCACCTTGGGCCCGAAAAATCATTCGCCTCCACCTGCCCGTAATGAGGGTGGCCGGTGATGAGGGATGATGCGCAACCTATCTGAGTCAGACTGTCCACAAAAAATTATTGGGGTTCTTTACCATTAAAATTCATATGTCTCGCATACCAGCCTGGATTCATTTCTGGGTTTTCCAAAGCAATAGGTTGACACTTTCGGTCATTCTGGCTGGCTAAGATATATTGTCTACAAATTTGTTTCTAACCTGATGCACTGTACATTGAACTGAGAGAATTGGGACGTGCAAAGCAAATTTTTAAGATAGTTTCTAAATAAGCAATACTGGTAAAAATAATGTAAGCAGCTTATGCCAGGTCCTGCTACAGATTGATGACCATGGGATTATCTTTTACATCATATATATATATATATATATATATATATATATATA